TCTCTCTCTCTCCCTCTCTCCTTCTCTCCCCCCTCCCTCCCTCCGGTGAAATGAGGTATTCATTCACATTTATTGTTTGATACTCCTCAGCAATGCAACTGAGCACATCACAGAGTCCTCCAATTTCATATTTCTGAAACGTCTGTGTGAGATCTTGCTTGAAATCGGAAAGCAGCTGTGTACACTCTGGGTAAGTGAATGTAAATTGTTTTGCTGTTAGAAATACGGTAAATGTTTGGTCAAGTGATCAAAATGTAATCAGCAGCACACTTTCCAATCATCAAATATGTTTGTGTTTGAGAAATAGGTTTGTCTGAGATTAGTTTGTTTGATCTGTAGTAGGTTATTGTTTTAGATTGAAACATTGGCAGAGTGCCTGAAATTCGTGAAAGTTTAATTCTGGGTGGATTCTGTCATTAATAAATGATATGTTGAAAAGGAAAGAAAATTTTAATCTGTTGTTCTGTTGCAGAGTTGATGTAAATGTATAATGTTGAGTTCTTGATGAATTTTTAGTTCTATGGTTATGGTGCTCAGTCACTTAGACTAGTTGTCTCTACTTTGTTTACATCATTTAACCTGGCTTATTGTACTAATAAAGTAATGGTCTGCAACTCATTCAGGATGAAATGGAAATCACGTTAGTTAAAATTTGTTTAAAAAAATAAAGTCTTTTATTTAACGAAACTTGCTTTATAAGAATTCTTGTTGACTGTTGTGAAATTGAAAAGAAAATCGTTGTCTCTCTTCTACTTAGGGCTCTCAACACACGGAGGAGCAGGGACAGCCTCCGAACTTCCAGATGTATCTCAAGGCACTGATGGCCTTCACGCAGCACCCTAGTCAGGTCAGCAGATCTGCTCTCTTTCTTAACATCCCCTTTGCGGGGGTGATCTGGGCCCAATTTTAAAAAACATCTTTTACAGGCTGTTCACTAAGGATAAGCTTTGCACGAAAAAAAGTTTGCTAATTAAAAAAAAAAATTAATGTTTATTGAATTGTTTTTAATAGTTTGTTTTCAAACAAATAAAAACATAATTCTGATTTTTCTCTCATTTTATTGTCAGTTATGAGTTAAGCGTATGGTCTCAGGTTTTATCAATTTTTTATTGCGGAGGGGGGTGGGAATTCTTCTATTTCCATTATAACTAAGTGTTTCTCTGGGAATGGAAATTGAATCAACCGTTTTGCACGTTAGACAAATTTATGGTGTTGAAAGGGCCATTTAAACTCCTCATGATCTCCTAATTGATTGCAGAGTTTACGTCAGATGGTGTACTCCATGTGGCATATATTCCTGAGACATGAATTGGCCTCCAAAGACCCACTGTTTACGGAGATCATGCCCACTTTGATCCAGTGTGGAACGGTTTGTTTGCACAAGGTGAGTTGAAACAACATGCTTACTGAAATAAACATTTTGGCTTATTGTGTCAGGTTTTAAAGTGGCTGCAGGAAAAAAGTGTTTCAGCTCTTGAGCGTTTTGTTGGTTTTTACGTGTGGTATGCTCTTCTGGCTGCTTTTTGTTATTATTAATTTACTAGTCTGTTTTAAATAGGCTGTTGTTGTGTTAAGTTGCTGTAAATTAAGGCTCTGACATCTATCTTATAACGGTTAGACTTTTCAGTGTTGTACATGAAAGATGTGAGAATTTGATTCCCTCCCTAAGAAGCTATTTTATCTAAATAACTCCATTTATCAGCTGTATCCCATTTGGCCAGGGTTTGCCCTGATAGGCAATGTCAAGGTAGGCTGCTTCCTGAAGTATTTAAATTGTCAAAGCAGGTGTAAAATATTTACAATTAAAAAAAAAAAAAACTCAACTCTGCTGATTGACATGCGTATAAACTTTTGGGTTTTATCTATGTATTATGTTGTGATGAGTGCCAACACTATTCACAAAAGGGCTCTTTAATATCACATATAAGAATGGAATTTTTCTGTTTTAAATTTCAGGTGGGCTTTCCTAGTCAGCAGAATTCAGTGAGCTGTGAATACTCACGCATGGAGTTTGATACTGATGAAGAGTTCAATGTTGTTCTTTGCAGTGAGTTGCTCATTCTGTGAACTTGTTTTACCATGCTCTGAGAGGCTGCAGTTATCAAACCTATGTGAAAAAGTAAATATGGTACTCTACCAGTCATATAAAATTTCTTACAGTTGAATATTTGGGGGGGGGGGCTCTCGTGGCCTAGAGGTTAAGGTGTTGGCCTCTCATTCAAAGGTCCCGGGTTCGATTCCGGGTAGCGACCAAAAAATTTTCTTCTCTAAAATTGTCTCCTTTCACATCCTTTCCTGATCCCTAACAATGTTCTGTTGTCTGCTTTCATTTCCACTTTCTGCCCCCACCCCTCACCGCCTTTGCCCCCTCCTCTGGGCTCCTGACTCTTTCTGCAGCCTTTCTACTGCTACTCCTTGGCTCCTCCTAACTGCTGTCTTTCTGCCACACCCCTGATCTTCTGGTAGGAAAGATCTACACCTAGCCTTCTCGGACAAGGGCGAAAAATCTCGGAGGGCCCGTGTGCAAGTTGCGCACGTTAAAGATCCCTTGGTGGTCTAAAATCGATAAGAGTAGGCTTCGGCCGCCACCCGGGCAAAATTCAAAATTTCCTACCAACGAAAAAGTATTAGGTGTGTCCCGCGCGCTCATATGACCTTATGCAGTTGCGAGCGCCGTAAAACCCTATACTAAACAAACAAACGAATATTTGGGTAATTGGTTCTTGAATCCTTCTGTTTTTAGTGGTATTCAAGGGTGTTTAATTTCTCATTTTTCTTTTCAGAGAATTCTTTTCCGTTTTGAAATGATAAAAATATTTTTGCAAGTGCATTTGAAATTGAGGTTGTGGTCTTTGGGTTGAAATATTTGGTTCAGTTTTCTTGTACGCCCTACACCGTGCGCCTAAATATATGAAGGTTACCGTACGTCCTGCTTTTGATTTGTCAAGGACCATCTTGCTTACTTTTCATTTCTTACAAAAAGTGATTGTGTCTTCGATTATCTAATGGTTAGTCTAGCGGACTTGTAATCATGAGATTCCAGGTTTGGGGATGAATTTGCCCATTTGGCTCTCTTCTATCATAGATGGACGTTTTATTCAGAGGTTACGTCTCTAGAACAACCTTACAGTGTTGCAAGGGATGTCAGACCTGTACAATTTCACCTTATTGTTTGCAAAAAGTAATTGGTATTTCTTGTGTGATAGCTATGTTGCTAGACCCATGTGTGATCAAGCAGAACTGTATTGCTGGTGTTGGGGAGCTAGCTTCTTGTTGTGACTAAGTGTGTTGTGTCTGTTCCAGACTTGAGAATGTCAGTTGTAGACTCTATCCGCATGATGACCTTGATGGTTCCCAAGATGACCTTCTCTGTGGCTAGCTCGTGGCTGAAGGAGCTGTTGGCGAAGCCCATTGTGGTCGGAACTGGTGCTGGTAAGGATGAATAAGACCCTAGTTGTTGATAGTCTATATCAGTTTTGGGCTTCGTTGGCTTATTGGATTGTTATTGATGCAGCGGCTATCGGCCTTCCAAAGTTCCAGCCCATACTTCTTTAGCATGTATTGGAAGGCAAAGATTTTGCAAGAGTACAAGATTTTTTTTTTTGGTAAATAAAGAAGAAGCTTCATGTTCTGGTAATGCTCTTGATATTAAAGAATTTGCTTAGTGTATGTATTCGTCATTAATCCATCAGGGTCTTTAGCTTGTGCTTAAAAATGACAAAGTTTTTGCATGTACACATTTTTTTATTTCAGAAGGAAAAAATCTTTTATAACCTGTAATACTTTGGGTTTAGAAAATGTTGAAGAGTTATTCCAAATTTTGATGTTGGAACTGCAATGTGTTTTCTTTGTGCTGAAATTTTATTTTAATTTCATTTTTTTTCATTATGAATCAGATTCTGGAACTTGAGCTTCTAGATCAGATCAAGTTTCGATTATTGGATGGTTAGAATTTGTAGGGAAAAGCCTTTGTTCATCTCTGTGCATCTTGAATGTGTTTTCATTAGTCAGAAAGCAACTTATTTTTGTTTTGAAAACCCAGCAGTGGATTTTTTGAGGGCTCGTAAAAAATATTTCCTCTGTTAAACTGCTAATGTACGATAATAGGTCAATCAAGGTCATTGATGAGAGCTGCTTAGTTTGTCTCATTTCATTGTTAATTGTTGTAACCAAAACAACCTTTCAGATTACATGTATGTGCCAGTGCTGAAAATGTCTCTGAAGGACTTCAACATAAATACTTCGACATGGGAGAGCCTAGCTCCTAAGAGACCCAGCTGGAGAGAAGCAGTCATGGTGGTTATCAAATCATATGAGGTTTCATTAATAAGAAATACTCAAACCAAGAGAGAAGCCCTCATGCTCGGCACACCCACATGCAAAAGTAGAGCTTTTAAATGTTCAAAATATGGCAAACTTTTCTCTGCCAGTATTAGTCTCATCGGTCACAGCAGAAGCCACAAGTCTTCTTAACCTTTAATTCTTCTATTTCGGTGGAGAAACATTCTACTCTGGGAATGTATTGGTCATCGCCGGACATTGACGGACGAACTATTATTTTTATTATATGCAAGTAGAGTTAGTTTAACAGTAATTCTTTGGAGGAAATCAATTTCTTGCTTCGCTTCTATGAATAGGAAATTGTCATTCCAAACATTATGTGAAGGTTGAATTCCAAGTGAATCCCCTCCCCCCCCTCTCCAGACCCAGGTCTCACCCACTGTTCTTCCTCCAACTCCACAGATTCTGACAAAGGCATCTGCAACTTGAGCTCCCCATCCTTCATCGCCTGGGACGCCTGTTCAGTGTTCCTAGAGGCTGTCATGTCAAAAGTCTTTCTCGCTGATGCAGAAATGCCCAAGGTTGAAGAGGGCATTGATTTACTTCACAGTGTGTTATCCTATGAAATGCAGGTTTGTTTTTGTTTTGTTTCGGAATGCAAGTTTTTCCTTACCTTTTTGGGGGGGTTTTTTGGAGAGGGGGGGGACCTATGACTCTCTTTCTTTTTTACTTTTTGTTCTTACTATTTAGACTGTTTATGAAGTTTCTTGTTGCTCTCATCATACTGAGTGGTGTGGTAGCCTTGTGGTTAGGCTACCAGACCCGCAATCATGGGATTGTGGGTTCGGGGGCTTGAGCCTCAGCTTGGTCCAGTTTACATGAATTTCCTATTTGGTTCGGTCCTTTTGGAGATGGGCGTTAAATTCGGAGGTCCTGCTTCTTAGATAACCTAATAGTGTTGATGGGGGCGTTAAAAATGTACCATTTCACCATTTTTCATCATAATAAGCGAACAGTTTGTGGGCATTCCTGTGGGTTTTGCCCCTTCTATTGCTTTTCAGTGTTGTTAATTTCCTAACCTGTTCCTCATAAAATGTCGCTGTTACTGTGCTGGCTAACATAAACTACAACTCACCTGATCACGCTGAATTTTTTGTCTCCAGAAAAGATACTATTTTTTCATGAATCTTTTCCTAAAATTTTGGGATGGTGTACTCTGTGGTTCTTTTATATTTCTTTTCTGTGCTACAAGATTCTTATTTCTGTTGTCCAGTTTTAAAAAATATGTCTCTTATGGCACTCACTGGTTACTCCATACTCAACAACACGTTTGTGTTTGTCTCTCTGAACCATAAGTCATTAACATTGGCTGGAGAACATTATGACATAACTTGTCATTTTTAAATCAATATAAACTTCTAATAACATGTGTCCCTTATGCTGTCTGTGTATTACTGATTCATTACATTATGCGTTGGTGATTGGTGGGTGGTCTTTCTTTCTTATCAAACATCTATCGTCCTTATCTTCCCTTTCTTTTCTTTGTATGTTACTCTCTGGTAACACGTCTAAACGTCAGCACTTATACAACCTATTTTTGTTACAAATGCTATAAAACTCTTTTCTAAAACTAACCAAACTTACATTACACTGGGTTTTTTTCTGCGACAGGACCCTCTGATTTTGTCTGCGGTGCTGTCCTGCATCTCTGGTCTGTTCCCGTTCCTCACATTCACGCCACAGACTCTGCCCCGGGTGCTAGCCAGGGTGAGTAGTCGGTCAGCTTGAGGCGAATTGATGGTTGTTGCGGACAGTTAGTGGACATGTGGGCATTCTGGTGTGGTCTGCTTCTGCTGCTTTTTTAATTATTTTTTTCCTTCTTCCTAACTGTTCTCTGTATCTGTTTCAAAGGAAGTGTGGCAATCATCATACTACTGATTTGGGGGGGGGGGGGGGG